CAGCAGCCGCCGCAGTCGCAGCCTTCGCAGCAGCCGCAGCAGCCGTTGCAGACGCGGCAGACGAGTGTCCTCCCGCCAGGGTGGCCCGGCGCTGGCGGTGGACGGGCGCGTGGTGGTGTGCCGCGTGGTGGCTCTGCCGGCGGGCGTTGTCAGTACCAGATCCAGACCGGTCCTCGCCGCGGCTTCGTTTGCGGTAAGATCGGTCACTCCACTCCCCGCTGTTTTCGTCGCCTGGACGACCTCTTTCGTCAGCGCTTCGGCCCGTCGCCAGACCTCCCGGACTGGCACAGTTTGCTTAGTCGTCAGATTCAGATCTTTGATATGGACATGGATGCCATTGTTTCTGCTCTGCATGTGATGTATGCTGATGACTCTAGTGTGCTTCCGGCTTATTATTCACTGTTGCCTAGTGTAGGTGTGCCTAGTGTACCCTCCCCTGCTGCGTCAGGCGTAGGATCCCCTGCTTTGTGTAGTCTTGGTGCTTCTGCCGTCGTTCCGTCGCCAGCCCCCTCGGCTTCGCTTTCCTTCACCTTGGACTCTGGCGCCTCTCGGTGTTTCTTCCGCGACTCCACCACCCTGACGCCGCTTCCTGTTCCTGCTGCCGTTTCCCTTGCTGACCCCTCCGGCGGTCCGGTAGTCGCCCGCAGTTCCACCACCCTTCCCTGTCCGGCGGTTCCGTCGGGCTCTCTTACAGGTCTGCATATCCCCTCGTTCTCCAGGAACCTAGTTGGTGTCGGCTGCCTCCAGGACCTTGGCGTCACCACTACGTTCCCTGGTCACGAGCGGTATGCTGTCTGTACTGAGGCCGCCACTGGTGCCCCCCTGTCCACGTTCCCCCGGGACCCGGTATCTGGCCTGTTCACTCTGGACACCGTGCCCCCCCCGGCTGGAGCGCCCCCTCAGGTGGCTGTGTCTACCCAGGTTGCTGCTGCCTGCTCCTGTCGCTCCCTCACTCACCCGACCCTCCTGTGGCACCACCGCCTAGGTCACCCTGCGCTCCCGCGTCTGCGTCACATGTCCCAGCACGGTCTTTTCCTTGGTCTCCCAGGTTCACTCCCCGCGTTTCCCTCCTCCCCAGCTCCACCTTGCACGCCTTGTGTCGAGGGTCGGCTTCGCCGTGCCCCTCACTCCTCCTCGTTCCCCCCTACCGCCGCGCCGCTGCAGACACTGCACCTGGACGTCTGGGGCCCCGCCCCCGTCCCTGGGCCGCGTCGCGAGCGCTACTTCCTTGTGCTTGTCGACGACTTCACTCGTTACACCACAGTCTTTCCCCTGGAGCGCAAGGCCGACGTGCCTGGCGCCCTCATCCCCTGGCTTGTCTCTGCGCGTGTCCACCGCGGTCTCCCTGTCTTGCGTCTTCACTCAGACCGTGGTGGCGAGTTTGCCTCCGGTGTCCTTGGTCGCTTTTGTCGTGCGGAGGGCATCACCCAGACGATCACCCTACCGGACTCCCCACAGCAGAATGGGGTCGCTGAGCGACGCATCGGTTTGGTCATGGAGGTCGCTCGCACCTCCATGGTCCATGCCGGTGCACCCCATTTTCTGTGGCCGTTCGCTGTGCGCTACGCTTCTCACCAGCTTAACCTGTGGCCGCACCCTCAGCAGCCGCAGGTTTCGCCGACCCGTCTGTGGACTGGGTCTCCTGGTGACGCGTCTGCGTTCCACGTCTGGGGCTGCCTTGCTCACGTCCGTGCCTCCGGCACGGACAAGCTCACTGCCCGCACTCTTCCCTGCGTCTTCCTCGGTTTTCCCCTTGACGCGTCCGACTGGCACTTTTACCACCCGCCGTCTCACCGCTTCTTTCACTCTCGTGACGTCACCTTTGACGAGTCCGTCTCCTACTACCGCCGCTTCCCCCACCGTGGTCCCCCGGTTACCCCCCCCCTGTTCCTGGTCACCCCTTCCCCGGTGGTCCCTGCCCCTCCTCCTCCTCCTCCCCGTCCCGCCCCCTCTGGTGTCTCCCACGTCACCCCCCTTCCGTCCGTGGACCCGGTTGAGGAGTCTTCTAACTCTGGTGGCCCTCCGGTGCAGTCCTCGCCGGCCGCCCCTCCCCAGGTGTCCCCTCCCCAGTCCCCTCCTCCGCCGCCCCTGCCGCCGCTGCAGCCGTCGCCGTCGCCGCTGCCGCCGCCGCCGCCGCCGTCGCCGCCCCCGTTCGCTGACTCTGGGGGTGCTCGTCCCGGTCGCCCTGCGGGTGGTCCCTCTGGGGGTGCGGGTGTGGAGAGTGCCGGTGGTAGCCGAGGAGCAGCTTGCGGTCCAGGTGTCGCCGTTGTGCCGCCGCAGCAGCAGTTCCCACCGGTGTCCGCCCTTCGCCTGCTCGGCCTTCCGTCCCCCGACCCTGCGTCGGTTCCTCCCCGCCCGTCTCCTCCTCTTCCTGTCTACGGCCCTGTTTTCCCTCCGCCGGACTCGTCCCCGGCCCGTCTCCCCCCTCGTTCCCCTCCTGTGTCCCCTCCCCTGTCTCCTGACCCGACTCCTCCGTCCCACGTCTGGTCTCACCGTCCCTCCCGTGCTCGTCCTGCCTCGCCTGTCTTGCGCTCCCACCCTATGTTGCTTCGTTCACACGCGTCTCGTCCTCCCCTTCTGCCGTCGCCTCCTCCGTCCTCCCTTGTTGTTGCGCCCCCCCCGCTGTCCGACTACCTTCGTGCCGCTCGTCCTCTCGTTCCTCGGGTCCTTGCCTCCCTCGTTACCGACCCGTCTGTTCCGGTCTCGTGCCTTGACGCTCTTGTCGCTGCTGTCGCTGACTTCGCCTCTACCCGCCGCCTTGACTACGCCACCGCTCTGGTCTCTGACCCTGCCTGTCCTTCGTCTGTCGGGGGTGCTCCTGCCCTTGGCAGTGACGTCCTGGAGGACCGCCAGTTCGAGCTTGCTTTCCTCTCCGAGGCTGCTCCCCATCTCTGTTCCATGCTACTAGTCCCTGAGGGTGACCCAGACGCTTTCGACATCCCGACCCCTCGCACTTACGCTGAGGCGACTTCGGGACCCTGGGCCTCGCAGTGGATAGCTGCCATGGAGCAGGAGATGGCATCTTGGAGATCCACCGGCACCTTCGTCGACGCAGTTCCCCCGCCTGGGGTGAACGTAGTCGATGGCCGCTGGCTCTTCAAGGTGAAGCGCCCTCCTGGAGAGCCGCCTGTCTTCAAGGCGCGCTATGTGGCTAGAGGCTTCAGTCAGCGCGAGGGGGTGGACTTCTTCCAGACTTTCGCTCCGACCCCGAAGATGACTACTCTTCGGGTTCTGTTACACCTAGCTGCTCAGCGTGACTACGAGCTTCACTCACTTGACTTCTCCACTGCCTTCCTTCAGGGCAGTCTACACGAGCAGGTCTACCTGCGCCGTCCTCCGGGCTTTACTGGCACCTTCCCTCCTGGGACCCAGTGGCTCCTGCGGCGCCCCGTCTACGGCCTGCGCCAGGCTCCCCGTGAGTGGCACGACACTCTGCGTGCTACGCTTGCTGACCTGCAGTTCTTTCCGTCTTCTGCAGACCCTTCACTCTTCGTTCGTGCTGGCCAGACTCCGTTCTACATCCTCGTTTACGTCGACGACCTGGTCTTTGCCACAGCAGACAGGGACGCGCTGGCCTCCGTGAAGGCAGAGCTGCTGAAGAGACACACCTGCACTGACCTTGGAGAACTGCGCCGTTACCTTGGCTTGCAGATCTCTAGGGACAGAGCTGCGCGCACCATCACCCTGACTCAGTCACACTTGGTGCGCCAGGTCCTTCAGAGGTTCAGCCTTCAGTTCTCCTCTGCACAGCCCACCCCTCTGCCTGTAGACCACACGCTCTCCGCTCCAGTGCCTGAGGAGTTGGTAGAGCCCAGCGGCCCCTACGCAGAGCTGGTGGGTTGCCTCATGTACCTGATGACTTGCACTCGCCCAGATCTCGCATACCCTCTCAGCATCCTGGCTCGCTTTGTGGCCACAAGCAGACACCGACCGCAGCACTGGTCTGCCGCTAAGAGGGTTCTGCGTTATCTTGCTAGTACATCGGGCATGGGGTTAGTGCTAGGAGGACGCAGGCCAGCGATCCTTACTGGGCACACAGACGCTTCGTGGGCAGACGACGCTGAGACTCTCCGGTCTACCCAGGGCTACTGCTTCAGCCTTGGCTCAGGTGCCGTCTCGTGGAGAGCTACTCGCTCCTCGTCTGTTGCACAGTCCAGCTGTGAGGCTGAGATCTACGCCGGTGCCATGGCGGCACAGGAGCTCCGCTGGCTGACCTTCTTGCTCACTGACTTAGGTGAGCGGCCTAGCTCTGCCCCGGTCCTGTTCGCTGACAACAGGGCCATGATCCTCCTGTGTCAGGAGCCTCGACTCGAGGGCAGAGCGAAGCACATTCAGCTGCGGTACTTCCTCCTGCGTGAGCTACAGCAGCGACATCAGGCTCGCGTAGTACACTTGGCCTCAGGTGCCAACACGGCTGATATCTTTACGAAGGCACTTGCGCCTAAAGATCATCAGCGGCACTGTGTACAGCTTGGTCTAGTTCCTGTAGCCTCTCACTTGCTAGGACCTTGACTTTGTACTGTCCTTTATGTGTATACTCAGACTGGACTTGTGTCCTCTCCCAGTGGCTGGACTAGTAGTACCGCCCTGCTCTTGTGCTTGCCTTGTCTGTACTCCTTCTGACTGGTCGCTCAGACCCTTGTCTCAGAGGTTGGACTAGTAGTGCCGCCCTGAGCTGTTTGTTTAGGACTTTCCCCTATGCAGTCTAGGGGGTGTGTCAAACATGTCTATGTGTTATGTTTGTATAGACTGTATAGGGTAGCCTCTTAGAGGGTACAACACTTAGCTATATTGTGTGTACTCTCTCTGTATCACCAATACTTCAATTTCTGATAAGAATCTCCTGTTAGTCTGATTTTTCAGACTTTTATAGGGGCAACTCGGATGCCCACACCAACGGATGGCAGGCAAGTCTGACGAATCAGATAACCCCAAAACCAATTTGGGGGCCTGGTCACATCACTGTGCATCTGATGTTTATCACTTTATAAGCCCTTACTACCTTGCCATAATCGGCCTGCTACAGGCTGCTGAGAATAGAAACCTGTGGAACACTAGTTCAGCAATCATTTGCTACAGAACATGAAGCATGGAAGCCTTCATATGCACCAACGAGGGCTACACCAATTCTACAGAAGCTGATAACCCTGGCGTGAATGCTCATCAGCAGAATTGCACTGGGGTGGGACTCCCCCAATTCATAAATAAAGCCATGTCGACCAAAGAGCTGGAGAGAGCTGCAAGAGGATGGGGAGCAGAGAGATATGTGCCGCGAGACTGGTTGCGGTGTCACCACTGCCTGCTGCCGAGCGCAGAGAGGTGCCCAGGACACAGGGAGGTGAGCAGGGCAGTGCGTGTTGCAGAGTAGGTGGTGTGAGTTAGGCATGGTGGGCACTGCCACAACAGTCGGCCACAAGAGACTGTCCTTGACAGTGCGTGGCGGCGGCGCTAGAGTGAGGGGTGAGGCAGGCACGCGAGGGCGCTGTGGTTGGTTGGATGTGTGTTAGAGCGGGAGACAGTGGGAGACACAGGTTGAGGCTGGAGGATAGCTTGGAGCCTGAGGAGATGGCAGGGTTGAGAGGCTACAGAAACAGCTGAGAGGCACACCGTGCTGGGAATGCAGGTGCATGCACGCATGCAGGCTTGGCTGACTCCCCATGAAGCGTGGTGGTGTAGGGTGCAGAGAGCAGCTGTTGCCTTGCCCATTGTGGCAAGCACGGCCCACGCCACAGTGGCAGAGACACACGGTTGGGCATGGCGCAGTAGTGACACATGAGAGAGCACTCGAATCACCGTTGGTGGGACCACACGAGGGCGTGCCGTGCCGTCCCTAACATGCACTCACCCGCCCACTTCACACTCTGCCAGCAGCAGCACCCTCCCTGGGAGGCGCCGCCCTCTGCCTTGGCCCATAGCTCCCATGCCGCACACCCTCTCCCATCCCTGCCCCTCGGCCCCCCTTCACCTGCACCCCTCCCCGCCCCTGCACCGTAGCATACCCCTGTGCCCTCTCCTCACCTTGCCTGCTGCCCTGCTCCACCTGCCCTGCTGCCATCCTGCCACCATTTGAGCCGTACCCCCTGCCACCACTCCCACCACGAACGCCTCCACCCCCAACCCCACCACCAACGACGCCACGCGCTGCTCCCCCCCCGCTGCTAACGATGGATTGGACTGCGGCCACCGTGGCACTGCGCGTCATCACCGCATGCGGCACCCACCCATCCTCGCCCTGCCTCTGCCCACCCCCACTCCCACCATGCCCCCTCTGCCCCAGTCCCCCCCCGCCCTCCCCCCCCCCCTGCTATCCCCAAACCCCCCTTTACTCTCCCCACCACTGCCCCGCCCATCAGCCACAGGCCCTCCTCGGCTGTCCCCTCGCCTCCCCCTGTTCTCACCCCGCCCGGTGTCCCCTCGAGCACTGCTGCTGCGGCAGCTGTCCTCCCTGGCGCTGGGCGCCTCCCTGCGCGCATCCCTCTGCTCCTGCACCGCCCTGCCACCGCGCCCCGCCACCACATCACCCGCCCCGCGTCTGCCCGGCGAGTCAAACTTGCTGGCCTTGGGGAAGCGCGCCACCCTGTCAAAGTCCCCATCGTCCCATGTGCCGCTGCGCGGCGGCCTGCTTGGACTGCCCCCCACTCGCCCCTCACCTCGCCCTCTCACATCCTGCCGCATCTGCTGCTGCTGCTGCCACAATCTCGACCCACCCCCTCCCTCTCCGCTGCTATACTCCTCCTCACTTGAAAAAACCCCTTCTCGCCTACTCCCGCCCCTGTGGCCATCGCTGCTGCTGCTGCTGCGCCCTCCCCGTGTGTCCGAAACACTGCGCCCCCCCCACACCCCTCCGCCAACGCTGTTCCCCAACTGCCCCACACTACTCTGCCCCCTGCCATACCCCGCCTCTCTCTGCCTCTCCCTCCCGTCCCACCACTCGACCTCCCCCCTCGACCCCTGGGTGCTGCCCCGCCCCTCCCAGCCACTGCCCCCGCCCTCGCCATGCTGCCACCCATGTCGCCCCCCCTGCTCCTCCTCCTCATGCCCTCCCCCTCCCTCTTTGCCCACCCTCTCCCCTCTCCCTTCATACTCGTATTCCTCCTCCTCCTCCTCCTCCTCCTCCTCCTCCTCCTCCTCCTCCTCCTCCTCCTCCTCCTCCTCCTCCTCCTCCTCCTCCTCCTCCTCCTCCTCCTCCTCTTCCTCCTCCTCCTCTTCCTCCTCATCGTCCTCGTCCTCGTATGCCTCTGTGTGTCGCAGGCGCCATGTGTCATGCATGGGCTGCGGTGCCGTGTGCGGGCCGCGCACATCCCACTGGGCCTCTCTGCGTTCCGCACCGCCCTGTGCAGGCCCCCTCAGAGCGAACGCCTGCTGCCCTGCCCTGCAGTCGCCCCCTTGCCGCACTTGACCCTCCGCCCTTCCATCCCATGTGCCCTTGCTGCTGCTCTCCTTGCATTGCTGCCCTTGCTGCCGCCGCCGCTGCTGCTGCTGCTGCTGTTGCGGCTGTTGCAGCAACTGCTGTGGCTGCTGGCGGTAGAGGTACTGAGCTCGACTTGAGTGGTACTCCGCATCCCCTCCTGCATCCTCTTCCTCCTCCTCGTCCCCTACCCCCTCCTCCTCTTCCACTTGCAATGCTGCTTCCTCCCTTTCCTTCCACTCCCTCACTGCGTCCGCCCCATCCGCCCTGCCCCGCGCGCCCGTGTCGCCACTCCACTCGTCTCTGCTGCCGGCCTCTGCCTGCCATGACATGTGATGCCATCTCGCCTCCGCCCTGCTCCTCTCCTCCCTCCCCCTCTCCGCCTCGCTGCTTCTCTGCGTCCCTCTGTCCCCCGCAGCCCCGTCCCCCCTCCCTCTCTCGCCCACAACCACCGCCCTGCTCTCGTCATTTGCTCCCCCCTGCTTCCCCTGTGCCTGCTTCCCCCCCCGGCTCTGGTCGCCCTCCAGCGGGTCGAACTCCCCCACCAGGCCCGTCATGTCCGACCGCGTGCGCAGGCTGCCCGTGTACACTGCACGCCCCCCCCCTGCTTGCGCCCCTGCCCCAGCCTCTCCCCCCCGGTCTTTCCATTTGCCCCCATGCCTCCCCCCTGCCCTGGCGTGCACGCCCCGCGGGCTGGAGGACACAGTGCGCGGAATGGCGGCGTCGCCCCCCGCGGTGCGCTTCTCACTCGCCCGCACTATCAGGCTCTCCGCATCCCTCACCCGTCGCTCGCCCTCCTCCCTCCCCACACACTCCGCAATTCGCAGAGGCGACAGCGCCCTCGCCTGCCCTTGCCCCTGCCCCTGCCCCTGCCCCTGCCCCTGCGCCTGCCCCTGCCCCTGCGCCTGCCCCTGCACCTGCACCTGCCCCTGCCCCTGCCCCTGCCCCTGCGCCTGCGCCTGTCCTTGTATCTGCCCATGCGCCTGTCCCTGCTCCAGCGCCTTTGCTGGCTGTGTTGGTGAGGGTGACCGCCCCTGCCCCTGCCCCTGCCCCTGCCCCTGCCCCTGCCCCTGCCCCTGCCCCTGCCCCTGTTCCTGCCCCTGTTCCTGCCCGCCCCGCATGGGGATGGGCGGACGGCGCGCCACTTCAATCTTGCGCCATCTAGTCCGCCTAGCACCGCCGCCTCCACCTCCCGCGCCCCCTGATGCCGCGTCCCCTCCTGCCTCCTCGTTGCCGTCCCCGCCCCACCCCGCTGCTGCTGCTGCGCCGTCACAGTGAGCCGCGTCGGCCACGTCAGTAGCAGGGGCGGGAGCAGCAGGAGGGGTAGCAGGCGTAGGCGAGGCAGCAGAGGGCGAGGGCGGCTCCGACGCATGCCCCGCGCCGCTGTGCAGAATCAATAGCCGCTCCACCCTTTGCTGCCCCCCTGCCGCGCCCTCCCTCCCCTCCTCCACTCCTGCACCCGCTTCGCCCGCTGCTGCCCCTGCCCAGCCCAACACCACTCCCTCTTCACTCAACCTGCCGCCACTGCCCGCCGCCCTTCTAACCCCCCCTTCACTCGCTTCACCCTCCCATTCCTCCCCTCCTATCCGCCCCCCCTCCTCGTCCCCACTGCCACGCCCCCCACCTTCCCCGCTGCTCTCCATCTCCCCGCTTCTGAGCCGTGCTCCCCCTCCCCTTCCCCCCGCCTGCAGCTGCGCCTCTTTCTCGACCCCAGAGGGCGCAGTGCCCGGCCGCCGCCAGCGCAGGGAGCTTTTTCCCCGCACTGATCCGCCTGTTCTCGGGGGGGCCGCGCCCGTTCCGCCTGTGCCATCGACAGCTGCAGTCCCGGGGGCCAGGGCTCCGTGGTCTTTCAGTGGGGAGAGCGCGCGCATCTGCGGAGCCGCTTTGCTGCCCGCGGAGGCATCCCGCTCAGGCTGTGCTGAGCTGCCGCCCTTATCTGCGCGCGGAACAGGCGGGGGCCAGCTGGCGCCCTGTGAGCTTGCGGGGCTGGAGAGTAGGTCGGAGGGGGCGGAGAGGTCACGGTGGAGGGGGAGAGGCCCCGAGAGTGGGGGCGCGCGCGGGGAGGCCAGGGGGCTACCGGTGATGGCGGGGGGGCTGTCCACCAAGGACGGGGAAACGGGAGCCCGCCCAGCCCCTAGCGCACCCCGCCCCCGAGCGCCCAGGCCTGCGCCCATAGCTGTGGGGCTGCCGAGCGGGCTGAGCGCGGTGGCCTGCAGGTGGCGGCTGTCCGCGGAGGGCGTGCGCGAGAGCTCCCGCGCGCCCAGGGAGGAGCCAAGAGCGGGGCTCAGGGGCGGAAGGCTGGAGGCGGAAATGCCATTGGCGAGGGGCGAGGGGGAAGCGGAGGGGGTGAGGGGGGAGAAAGGCGCGGGTCTGGAGCGGCAGTGCGCATCAAAGACGTCGATATCAGTGCTGGCGGCCGCTGCGTCGCCCGCCCTGGGGGTGGCGGAGGGCGCAAAGCCCACTGATGGGCTGCGACCCAGGCGACCCGACGACGACACGGGGCGATTCAAAAGAGGCAGTTTGGGCCCGCCAGGCAACCACGTGGGACGGTTACGGTAGCCAGGCCCGTTCTGACCCGCACCAGGCGCGCCCGCGCTCATTCCCACGTTACCTTCACCCGTTCCCCGCCCGCCTAACCCCCCTTCTGACGACCCTTGCGCATAGCCAGTCCCGACTACTGCCCCTGCCCCTGCCCCCGCCCCTGCGCTGTCAACCACTCCGCTTCCGCGAGGTCCCCCCTGGCCTCCCCCCGGCCCCCCTGTGATGAACGACTTGGAGCGCCCGTGCCGCTGCGATGCTGAGGAATCGTCCGCTTGCGCCCCTCCCCCCGCGAAGGGACGCCATCCGCCCTTGGCTCTGGCGCCCCCCTGCTGCTGCTGGCCATGCCCATGCGCGCTGCCGTGCTGCTGCTGCTCGTCGTCGCCCTCCGCGTGCTGCTGCTGCAGCTGCTGCTGGTACGCGTCCTGCGCAGCCTGCGAGCGCGGCGACATGCTGAGGTCGCCCGACCCCACGCGCCCCCTCAGCCCGTCGCGCTCGTCGGCGCCGCTGGTGAGGCCCTCCTTCCAGCTGTGCGCCGTGCGCTTCAGCTTCCCCATGATCTTCTGCCGCAGCCCCTTCTTCCCGCCGTCCCCCATCCGCTCCTCCTCGCCCCACTCCTCCCCGCTCCTCGCGCCTGAAGGGGAGCTCACTCCTCCTGTCCCGGCCGCCGCCACCGCCGCTCCCCCTCCGACTCTGCCCCCGCCCGGGCCGCCGTCGTCATCTTCCAGGAAGCCCCCCCCCTCGTCCACCCGCCACGGGCTGCGCGACGTCTCCGCCGACGAGCTGGCGCGCACGAGCGCGCGATCCACGCCCTCGCTGAACCCCGGCGCGCTCACCTTCTCCCGCTCCTGCCACGACCCCCCTCCCCACATTCCCCCAGCCCCTCGACCTCCCCCCGCCGAGGCCCCACCCCCCCAAATCCCACCGCCGCCCCGCGAGCCACCTGCCCCGCCCCAAATTCCCCCTCCGCCTCCCCCTAAGTTGCCGTCCGCGGGCGGCTTCCTGGTATCGGCGGGCGCGTCCCAGTCGTCCTCGAGCGACTGTTGGCGCGAGTGGCTCTTCTCCTCCTCGCTGTCCCACGACTCCGTCAGCAAGCTGCTGCCGAACACCGGCGCGCCCAGCATGCGCGCATTGCCGCGCTCGGACGACCGGCTCGTGCGGCGTCCGCCGATGTCGGACGCGTAGGACTCGCCGAAGATGCGCACGGGGGGCCCCAGCCCCACGTTGCCCGCCAGCATGCCCCCGCCCGTGGTGGCGCGCGCCAGCTCCTCCTCCTCGCTGAGGTCGCCGTCGTCCAGCCCCAGCATCGACATCCGCGGGTTCAGCGCCGCCTGCCGCTCCGCGCGCAGCAACTGCCACGCGGCGTGCGCGTGCGCGACGATCTCGAGCACCTTGTCCTTGTCCGCCACGCCCTCCTTCAGGCGCAAAACGCGCCCGCGCTCGCCTGGCGGGACACCACACGCGCGAAAGGAGGAGCAACAGCGGTACGGTGGTTGCGAGAGGGGTGCGAACAAGAGTGAAGACGAGGAAAGAGGAAGAGGGGGCAGAGGCCGGACAAGGGGCGCGGAAAGGGGAGAGAGTCAGAGACAGAGAGAGAGAGGCGAGAGTCAGCGAAAGACGGAAGGCGGGGAGATGGCAAGGTGTGGTGCGGCCTAGTTCCCCCCCGGCAGGCGGCGGCGCGAGCGTTACCTCGGGTGTGGCGGCAGGAGTGCAGCCACTCCTGGATGGAGTCGAGCAGGATGTGCAGCGAGCCGTTCTGCGCGTCGACCACGCCGCTGTCGTCGTCCAGCGCCAGCCCCACCACCTTCCACGACACCCGCAGCCCGCGCGGGTCCACCAGCGCGAACACCGCGAGCGCCTCCACAGAGTACACCTCGCCCACGGCGCGCACGCGGCGGCCGATCTCCACCATCTCGATGGGGCTGTCGTCGAACGGCAGGTTCCCGAACTCCGCGCACCGCTGCGCGCCGTCCGACCACGTCTGCGGGAGCACGCCGCAATTCCAGGGGACCGGCTCCGTGAAGTGCACCAGCTGCCACCCGCCACCCGCTGCTGCAGTGGCAGCTCGCACGCGATGGCGCAGCGGCGCGAGCCTTTCCTGAACAGCCACGTGGCAGTCTAACTGAGTTCCCTTGGGCGTGGTGCAGACGAGGTGGAAGCCGCCCGACGTGGAATGCAACGGCACGTCGTGCCATGGCGACACCTCGCGACCCGACGCGTCCTCCAAGGTGACGCAGAAGGATGTGGTGCCCGGGGGGCCGTTGAGGAGAGGCGCCCACTCCGACATGCTCGCGCCACGCCCCACCGCCAATGGCGCTATTGCCACACAGCTCGGCGAGGGGAAAGAAGCTCTTGATATATACTTACAGAATAAACGCCTTAAAAGGTAAACTATTCAAGCGCCATGACGGCGAAATTTCTACGACGGATCCAGAAGGCCGATTCTGGATGCTAGGTTAGAACTCTAGGTGAATACGGGCCCGAAACATCTGACGCGTCGCGACAAGGCTATGGCAGATCAGACCTCTCTCGCTGCTCGGCTGCTACAACCCTACGGTGACCGACGCCGATGTGCACGCTCGCCTTACTGCCCGGCCTCGTGCAGCAGCAGAGGTAACAATGGAGAGCACTGGCATCTAAGTAGGGGGTTATGTCTGATAAGGCGGGGTGAGCGGCTGCATGTTGGTGGAGGCAGCTCTCCAACGGAAAAGGTGCGCGGGGCAGCGCGCATGATCCCCGGGTTTGCCTTCCACCTTTTCCCCCCAACCTGCCTCAGCTCACGTGCTCCCTCAACAGTGCCAAGCGGAATCGACTCCGCTCCGAAGCTGGTGAAGCGTGGGGGCTGGCTTGCAGGCGTTTCCGCGGAGAGGCCACACGATGGGCTGGCTGCTCTCCCCCTCTAGTTTGCTCCCCCAACCCCAATCCAACCAGCAGCATCAGCTCCGCAGCACCCTGCGCAGCGCGAACATGTCAAGGGTTGGCGCGGAAACGTGCAAAACAAGGTCGGGGTCCCAGCAGGAGTTTCGCACGGGGCCGCTTGCACCGCGTGGCCGTATGAGAAAGTTGTTCAAAATGGAGTTCCCCCGACGCAACTAGCCAACCAGCGAGGGACAGACAATCCAGACAAACTTGCACAAAAGTGCGGGAGATGCAGAAATAAAGCATTTATGATTGCAAGGAAATGGCATTTCCTTATCCCGGTTAGTAAAGTGTACACTACTATAACGGGTTGCTGCACAGCTCTGCCACAAAATTCAAATCGCGGCACTCAAATGTGGTCTCCTGATGAGCCGCATGCATTTTTCCCGTCTTGCAGTTTTCATGCCTAGATCTGGGCGCTTCGTTCCAATTTACAACCCTCACGTCTCAGCTCTGCTGAGCTTCGACTGTGTGCTCTAGGCCTAGCTATATCCATAATTCCTGTTGTTTTGATCTTGCCTCATTGTATTGTTTCCTTGCTACTCAACTATCCGACACACGCTCATTGCGCATCATCGCGCCTGGTATCACAGCCAATGATCCTCTGACGTGCGCTCTAGTTCCGCTGCAATACTGACCCTTAGAGAGGTTGACGCCCTGTGCTTACTGTCAAACATGTGTATCTCCAATGTTTGTATAGATTTTATAGGGTCACCTCTTAGAGGGTACAACACTTAGGTATATCCTCTTGTACTCTCTCTCTACTCAATCATTTTTTCATTCAGTTCTAAGATGGTATCAGAGCAGGACGCCCTTCCTGGGCCTGCTCCCCTCCGTGCTTCCGCTGCGTTCTCGTTCACTGCCTTCCGACTTCCTGCCGCCGTGGCAGCTTCTCCGAGATGCCGCGACGGCTTCTTTTAGTGCCGCCGTCTCAGCGTCGCCAAGCAGCTGCAGCGACGATGCCGCGCCCTGGAGATGTCGTCGTCGTGGTTCCGTGGTGCGTCGTCGGCCTGGAGCCGTCGCGCACGACCTGCGTCGCTGCTGAAAAGCAGCCCGCCGTCACGCCAGTAAGCGTGGCGCCAGCAATGGCGCAATGCTGAAGAATCCGAAGCTGCGGTACTTCCTCCTGCGCAAGCTACAGCAGCGCCGCCAAGCTCGCGTAGTACACCTGGCCTCCGGTGCCAACACAGCTGATATCTTTACGAAGGCGCTTGCGCCTAAAGATCATCAGCGGCACTGTGTACATCTCGGTCTAGTTCGTGTAGCCTCTCACTTGCTAGGGCCTTGACTTTGTACTGTCATATATATATATATATGTACTCAGACTGGACTTGTGTCCTCTCCCAGTGGCTGGACTAGTAGTGCCGCCCTGGTCTTGTTCTTGCCTTGCCTATACTCCATTTGACTGGTCTTTAGACCCCTGTCTCAGTGGCTGGACTAGTAGTGTCGCCCCGAGCTGCTTGTTCAGGACCTGCCCCTATGCAGTCTACGGGGTGTGTCAAACATGTGTATCTCCAATGTTTGTATAGACTGTATAGGGTCATCTCTTAGAGGGTACAACACTTATGTATATCCTGTTGTACTCTCTCACTACTCAATCATTTTTTCATTCAGTGCGAAGACTTACTGCATATCCGTTGTCTTGGTCAGAGACAGCGTGCCGAAAGCCGCCCAAAACTTCCACAAAATGGTGGAGCCGTCGTCGTCTAACGCCATACGTGTTGAAGAGAGGGTGGCAATATCAGAATTGAAGAAGTGAATAGAAGGAGAGAGTCCAGAAGTATATAGCCTAGAGTGTTGTACCCTCTAAGGCACAAACATATATTGTCTATACTAACATACTTTGATATGTTTGACACACCCCTTAGACTATATAGGGGCAATGCCTAACAGGAAAACAAGAAGCTCAGGGCGGCACTACTAGTCCAGCCACTGAGGCAAGGGTCTAAAGACCAGTCAAAATGAGTATAGGCACAACAAGAGCAAGACCAGGGTGGCACTACTAGGATAGGCCACAAGGCCAGTTAGGGTAAAACATATAAAGGTCAGTACATAGTCAAGGCCCTAGCAGATGAGATGCAACAGGAACAAGACCTAGTTGTACACAGTGCCGCTGATGAACTTTAGGCGAAAGCGCCTTCGTAAAGATATCAATTGTGTTGGCACCGGATATCAAGTGTACAACGCGGGCCTGGCAACGCTGCTGTAGCTCGCGCAGGAGGAAGTACCGCAGCTGAATGTGCTTCGCTCTGCCCTCAAGTCGAGGCTCATGACACAAGAGGATCATGGCCCTGTTGCCAGCGTACAGGACTGGGGCAGAGCTAGGCCGCTCACATAAGTCAGTGAGCGAGAAGGTCAGCCAGCGGAGCTCCTGTGCCGCCATGGCACCGGCGTAGATCTCGGCCTCACAACTCGACTGAGCAACAGATGACGAGCGAGTAGCTCTCCACGAGACAGCACCTGAACCAAGGCTAAAGCAGTAGCCCTGCGAGGACCTGAGGGTCTCGGCGCCATCTGCCCAAGAAGCGTCTGTTTGCCCGGTAAGGACCACTGGTTTGCGTCCTCCCAGCACTAACCCCATGCCCGATATGCTTGCGAGATAACGCAAAACCCTCTTAGCGGCAGATCACTGCTGAGGTCGGTGTCTGCCTGTGGCCACAAAGCGAGCCAGGATGCTGAGAGGGTATGCGAGATCTGGACGAGTGCAAGTCATCAGGTACATAAGGCGACCCACCAGCTCTGCGTAAGGACCACTGGGCTCTACTGACTTCTCAGGAACTAGAGCAGAGAGCCTATGGTCTACTGGCAGAGGTGTGGGCTGTGCGGAGGAGAAATGAAGACCGAACCTCTGAAGGACCTAGCGCACCAAGTGTGACTGGGTGAGGGTAATCGTGCGCGCTGCTCTATCCCTGGAGATCTGCAAGCCAAGGTAGCGGCGTAGCTCTCGTAGGTCAGTGCAGGTGTGTCTCCTCAGCAGCTCAACCTTAACAAAGGCCAGCGCGGCAGTGTCTGCAGCGGCAAAGACCAGATCGTCTACGTAAACAAGGATGTAGAACGGAGTCTGGCCAGAACGAACGAAGAGCGAGGGGTCTGCAGAGGACGGAAAGAACTGCCGGCTTGCAAGGGTAGCACATAGCATGTCGTGCCACTCGCGGGGCGCCTGTCGTAAGCCGTAGACTGGGCACCGCAGGAGCCCCTGGGTCCCAGGAGGGAAAGTACCAGTGAAGCCCTGAGGGCGACGCAGGTAGACCTGCTCGTGTAGACTGCCCTGAAGAAACGCAGTGGAGAAGTCGAGGGAGTATAACTCGTAGTCACGCTATGCTGCTACGTATAGTAGTGCCCAAAGAGTAGTCATCTTCGGGGTCGGGGCGAAAGTCTGAAGGACTAAAGCCTCTAGCGCCTTGAACACAGGCGGCTCTCCAGGAGGGAGCTTCACCTTGAAGAGCCAGCGGCCATCGACTACGTTCACCCCAGGTGGGGGAACTGCGTCGACGTAGGTGCCGGTGGATCTCCAAGATGCCATCTCCTGCTCCATGGCAGCTATCCACTGAGAGGCCCAAGGTCCCGAGGTCAACTCAGCGTAAGTGCAAGGGGTCGGGATGTTAAAGGCGTCTGGTTCACCCTCCGGGACTAGCAGCATGGAGTAGAGATGGGGAGCAGCCTCTGACAGGAAAGCGAGCTCGTACTGCCTGTCCTCTAGGACGTCACTGCCGAGGGCAGGAGCACCCCCGACAGACGGAGGACAGGCAGGGTCAGAGACCAGAGCGGTGGCGTAGTCAAGGCAGCGGGTAGAGGCGAAGGCAGCTACCGTAGCGACAAGAGCGTCAAGACACGAGACCGGAACAGACGGGTCGGTAACGAGAGAGGCAAGGACCCGATGGAAAAGAGGATGAGAGGCACGAAGGTAGTCAGACAGAGGGGGATGCGCAACAACAAGGGAGGACGGACGAGGCGACGGTAGGAGGGGAGGACGAGATGCGTGGGAACGAAGCAACATAGGGTGAGAGCGCGAGACAGGGGAGACGGGGCGAGCACGGGAGGGACGGCAAGACCAGACGTGAGACGAAAGAGTCAGGTCAGGAGACAGAGGAGGGGACACAAGAGGGGAACGAGGGGGAAGACCAGCTGGAGTCGAGTCCGGGGAAGGGAACAATGGGCCGTAGACAGGAAGAGGAGGAGACGGGAGGAGCGGCACAGACGCGTGGTCGGGGGGAGGAAGGCCGAGTAGGCGAAGGGCTGACATCGGCGGCGTCTGCTGCTGCGGCCGCACGACAACAACACCGGGACCGCAAGCTGCTCTACGGCTACCTCCGGAACACTGCACTCCAGCACCCCCAGAGCCCGAAACTCCTCCAGCACTGGTACCACCCCCAGGCCCGCCGGGACAAGCCACGATAGGAACCCCAGGACTAGTACCCACCCGAACGCCAGCACCCTCAGAGTCAACGACATGCCGCTGTGACGGCTGCAGCGACGGCTGCGGCGGCTGCGCCGGCGGTGACGGCGGCGGCGACGGTGGCTGCGGAGGTGGCGGAGGAGGAGACACCTGGGGAGGGGCAGGCAGCGAGGACTGCGCCGCAAGGCCACCACAGTCAGCAGACTCCTCGACCGGGACAACCGACGGGAGGGGGTGTGTCGTGAGACACACCAGACGGGGCAGAATGGGGAGGTGGAGGGGGAGGGGCAGGGG